CCCAGGCACATTTAGCAGGAATTCATTTCCATCTTAATCTGATTCTAGGAAGTAGATCATATTTTAAAGAGTAACAAAGATAGGTTTGGAACATTCTTTCATATAACACAGAGAACAACAGATAGTTAGAAGATTGGCTTTCTGGCTGTGACCTTCAACAAATCATTCTGATTTTATGCCATATAAAATTCTTTATGATGAGCACCAACAAAATTCAATGGATGAGCTTGGAAAGTAGCATCTGTAAATTGAAAGCTAGCAAATGTTATTCCTTAGTCCTTAACTATGCAAAACAGGTTAGGGGTGGAGGAAGTCAAATAGAGTAGCTATTATAGCACCTGCTTTGTTGTTTCTTTAGTTTGAGTTCAAATCTAGGTTTTTGACGCTTGAAAGCATGTCATTTTCACCTTTCTAAATCTCCCTTAAACCCCCTATAAAATAAAAATAATAATATAGCAAGGATTAATGGAATCAGGCATTTCACCCAAGAATGCACTTAGGATTGTACAAGACACACAGACGAACGGTGGTGTTATGGGTAGGGTTTGTAAAGCCAGTTCACAGATGGGTAAACTGAAACTCAAGGAGAGAGGGCAATTCATTCAGTGTATTTCAACTCCTAAGTTGCCAGGATTCAAGCTGGGGCCTTTCTGACAATAATGCTTTTTGCATTCATTTCTGCTTCTTCCCACTTCTCAGCTGCCAGATTAAAGCAAATAGCTTCCAGTTGTTAGTGTTTAAGGAGCCCCAGTGTGTGAATATTAAATATGATAATATCTACTAGAAAATACCACATCTATACAAGGCTCCACTTACTCGTTACCTTCCTACATCCATTGGTATTTAACCTGATACATTACAAGATATTGCATGATTTCCTCACAGTTCTGTTTTCAAGGACTTGTGATCCTTCAGAGAAAGGACGCTGTCAGCACCTGCTGCAGGAGAGGTGAGCAGGGCAGAGATTTGACTCTGTTTTCCAGGAAACAGAGCCTGGAGTCGCCACCCACTCTCTGCAGAGCAACAGAAAAACTGAAGGCTCTGAAGGCCAGTGCCACATCACAGGAAAGCAAGGACACGAAAGGAAAGTCAAAATCAGCCGTCTCCAAGATGCCTTTTATGTAACCAGTCTGGGAGTGGTCAGAGAGCCCAAGACAAAGGAGCTGCTGATGGGATTCTGCTCGGACCTGATTTTCTCCTGATTCATCATTAATTTTTTTCTGGATTTCCTACAGTGTTCATTAGTTGGCTTCATTAACAATAATAAGATCTTAAATGTGGAGATTTTCTGGAAATATGTGCTTGGATAGGGAGATACATTAATCAGTGTCAGCAGGAAGTGTAAAGATCTAAGGACTGGGGATCCAAGACAAGCAAGTTCTGATGGAGGCCAAGGTGGCTCCCTGAGAACTAACACATAAAATGCTTCCTATAGGAAGAAACTGAAATATGTAGGATTCTGGATACCCTAGAAACATGGTTGTTATATTTGCAGCTGAAATGCCCCCCAAAAGCCCATGTGTTAAAGCCTCGCCTTCCTGCTTGGCACTACTGGGAAATAGTAAAAGGCAAGTGAGAGGCACTAATAAAAGGTGGGGTCGAGTGGCAGGTCTTCTGATCCCTGGGGGTGTGTCCTTGCAGCCAAGACAGAGAACCTACCACCTCCCTTGTTCTCTGTTTAAGTTCCCCACCATGAGGTGAGTACTTTTGCACCACGTCCATGAGTGCTACTCCAGTAGAGGCCCAAAGCAAAAAGGCTCATCCATCATTGACTGACCCTCCCAAATCTTTGAGCCAAAATGGATTTTTTCTCTTTATAAATTGATTGTCTCAGATAATTGTAATAGTGAGACAAAGATAACATGGTGGTTTTTGAGAATGACTTTGGAGGAAGAGAAGGATCTATCCCAATTCTGGACTTATCTTAAGCCACGGAAAACTCTAAGAACTTCAGACTTTGGAACAAAAGGAACAACCGAAGTTACCATCTGTGAGGGGGGACTTAATTAACTTAGAGGGAGGGTAACTACATAGTACAAAAGCCACCTAGGGACATGGCATTTGCCTAAACTATAACCCCCTAATCATCTGCTTTTGGTGCTTGTTTCCATTTCTTGAAACCCACAGAGAAGAGATTCTTGCAAATTATGCTCCCCAGGTACCCTGATCAGGGACTTCCAAGAAGGTTCAGGGAAAAGGTGGTAGCGGAAAGCAATTGGAGGTGGGAGGAGAGGAGAAGCCAGGGAGTCTCCTCCTCCTCTCTCACTCAGCACCTGATGCACCAGCACTAAAAGTGAGTCTCCTCAGAGTGTGATCTCAGCCCAACAGCCGGATTCCAGGGCTGGCGGAGACTTCCTCTTCCCTTGGCCTTTGCAGCCCTGGAAGTGGCTTCCTTGGTGTTTACTGACCTCTAGCTTTTCTCGCCATCTCTATTTGATTCTTCAGGCTTTCCAACACCTTCGTAACTGCTCTGCACTATTAAATTCTATCTATTGAACTACCTGACACGAGCTCCAATTTCCTGCCTAGACCCTGCCTAATACAGTGTGTTAAAATAAACTGTTAACTTACATCATTCAAGACACTTAGATGACTCAATTTAAATCATCATTAAATATTTATACTTTGCCTGCACTGAGAGAAGTAGTCAAAACTGCTGTGCAAACATGAAAAACACTATTATTTTGTTAGAATAAATATAAATTACATCAAAATTAGGAAAAAGCATAACCAAAAAGTCTTTTAATTACTTACAATTCCACATCCTGTAGAACATCCTTATAAATGGCTTTCACTTCCAGTTTATTATATTCCTGCATAAACCCCTTGTCATATATCAAAATTTCAAAGCACCATTTGAAGGAGATAGAAGTTTCTACAGGGCTTACGAATATAGTCTTAATACTCTTGATGCTCTAATTTCTTTACATTTTATGACATGCATTTTTCACTTCAAATAATATTCTGTACCACCTTTCTACATCAATAAATGAACACGCACAGAAATATTGTGATAACAACAAAATTCAAATATTTCATATGCCATTGCCAGGCTAGACCATCGCTTATCCTCCCAGCGCTTGTTGCTGGACATTTAGGTGTTTTTCACTCTTCACACTGCAGTGATATACATCCTCATGGGTAATCATTTCATCTTTGCTGCATTGCTTGGATAGAAGTAAAATTACTGGGGTATGGAGATATATAGAGTTATGTCCCGCTTAATGGTAGAGGCACATTCTGAGCAGTGCAGTTAGGTGATTCCGTCATTGTGTAGGCATCACAGAGTGCCCTTGCACAAATGTAGATGATGTAACCTATCACACAACTAGGCTATGTGGTGTGTCTGTGTGTGTGTGTATGTGTGCCTGCGCGTGGTACTAGGGTTTGAACCCAGGCCCTTCACAATGAACCACAGCTTCAGCCTTTCAGTGTTTTTATCTAGATGCAGCATCTCATTCAGTCACTAAAGTGCCCAAACTGGGCTCTAACTTGCAGTCTTACTGCCTCTGCCCCTCAGAGGCAGACACCACTATGCCTGGTTTATCCTCCCAGGTAGTGATGCACAGTATGGTCCTGTAAATGCACAAAATAATAATGTAATATTTTATTACCATTATGTACTATACCTAACTGTTATAGCATTATGTACTATACCTAACTGTATGCACTTGACTTTTATACAGCCAGCGGCCCAGTGGGTTTGCTAACACCAGCAACACCGCGAATGAGTTGTGCACTGCACTGTGATATCGCTATGCAACAGGACTTTTCCAGCTCCGTTCTGGTCTCATGAGACTGCCAGTCAGTACATGGACTTTCCTTGATTTGAAGGTCACTAGATGGCAAATGACTGCTTTTTAAACTTTGGCAAGCATACTCCAAATTGCCCTCTAGAGGGGTGGTAGGAAGAGGAATTTTTGGGATGTTTTGTAAATAATTAATTTTGTTAAATACTGTTTGCAAGTGTCTTAATAATTAAGACTTTCATTCAATGCCAATTGTTACAACTGTTTATTATCAATATAATTAAACATCGTTCACCTCAAAATTATCTTCGTGAGAGCACACTAAAATGCTGATGTAATCGTAGTTTGTGGACTAACTTTGTTTTGCTAAATTTTTATGCAAATTATCCAGCACCAACTCAGATCCACACAAATTCACTCTTACACAATGATAAGAAAACCCTGACACATGGGCAACTATTATTACGTGATGTCTGAAAAAAAAATCTTGAAAGTTAGACACAATCATATCATCTCATGAGAAAGGTGACACTGAAGGTGTTTAACCCACGATAGTTATTTCAGTCTGGTACCCAGTAGGGTTTCAACCATGTATCTTTAGATTATCTTGCAGGAAAATAAGTGCTTACTTTTCCTTTGTTCACAAATAGGTTTAGTTCCCAACATCTGTTAAGAAAGTTACTTTGTTTCTGCATGGAAGGTCTAATACTCCAAAAAAAAAGTAAGATTAACAAAGAAAGTCAGTCTTGATTTCTAATATTTGCTGTCAAGGTGGCCAATCCCATTGTTTTTGCTACAAATGTAAACAAAAGACAGCTGATCTTGATCTCCCATGATGGGTAGAGGAAGGGAAGAAAGACTGGTTGAAATAGTTTTTGGTCTTTTGCTTGTCTCATCATTCCCAAGGAAGGCACACAGCTCAGATACAGATCTTGAGTTTCCAGGGAATAAAAGACCCAGTTCATGCTGCTTTAAATAATAAAGCAAAGGTGCACTTAAAAATCCAAGTTCTAAGTTTGGTCACTTAAACAAAGCCTCCTGAGACTGATTCTCCTCTCTGTCTCTTCCCACATCTTCTTATTCCTAGACAGGTTCTTCTCATGCGCACAAAGTGTTGCCAGCAATTTCCAGTTTTCACAATCAGTAAAGAAAGACAACATTTCTACCCGTGTCTCCTAGAGTATCTTCAAATTAACCTTCCAAAGAGCTTCTGGAAAATGTCTATTGCATCTCATTGCCCAGATTGCATCGATGACCAGCCCTGAACCAGCTGCTGTGCTGAGTAGTACTGTGGGCTGTTTGGCCTCAGTCAGTCCTTCAGGGTCAGCCCTGCTACTGGCACCTTTGTGTCCTGCTTATAAAAGTTTTGAGAAAGTTCTCCTGCAAACCTTCATATGCTTCCTTGAAGACAGTTCTCTCTGCCATCTTCACCCGTCTCTCCAGATGAACACTGGGGGATTTTCCATCAACTCTCAGCCAAAGGATTAAAATACTTAGTGTACTTAGATGAGCAAAATATATCACCCTGTAATTCACTGCTAACCACAGCTGAAGAGCTAAATGATTTCACTGTTTCACATCCAGTTGAGCTGATTCAAGTCTGCCCCCACATACTTCTGCATCCAAATATAGATGTTCCTCAACTTACAGTGGAGGAGCATCTGATTAAACCCATTATAGATTGATATATCATAAATTGAATGTACATTTAATACACCTAACCTGCCAGACATCCTACATTAAATGTGCTCAGAACACTTACATTAGCCTAAAGTTGGGGAAAATCATCTAACACTAAGCTTATTTTATAATAAAATGTTGACTGTTTTATGCATCATATTGAATCTGGACTGAAGGAGATAAATACAATGGCTGTATGGTTGTGCCTTCACACCATCATAACATTTTTAAAACTCTTAGGGTAAACCATAGTAAGTCAAGGATCATCTGTACTTTGTGGAGGGGGTAAGAAATAGTTGTCATCACAAATGCATTAGGAAATTACCATGGATTCTTCACTCTGAATCTCATCTTCCTTGCATGGATTATGTGCTCCTTACGAGGAAAATAGAGGAGAATGAGGTAGACCAGACAGTCTCCACCTTCCTCTTTGTCCCACTTGTCATTTGCCATTTACCTTCCAGAAAAGCCATTCAGCTTTGATACAACTACTTATCTGCTTTCCAAAGCAACAGGCATCAGAGCCCCGTTTCCTGACATCATCTGCAAAAAAAAATCATTCCACCTCCTCCCACATGATGTAGAATTTCCATTAGTGGACACCCAACCACCTCTCACCTTGCCTTCAGAAATCACTGTTAGTTCAGTACAACCAATCAGCTTTTGCCAAATTTCAGTTTGCTATTTTAAAAATATCTTCTTTTATTATGTACATGATTTATACTTATTGCAAAATCATACAAAATACAAATCACCTGAAAAGATGTACTACAACTTGCTATAACCCTGTTTTCAGAGAGATTTGCTACATTCGGTGGCTGTGATCATTAATTGTGATGCATCAGTGTAACTGGATTAGGGAACACCCAGGAGATTAGACATTTCTGGGTGTGTCTGGATGGGTCATGGAGGCACGACTCTGCATGGTCTGTGACCCCTTCCCTCCAGCACTGCTCCCCTACATGCTTCTGGACTGCTATGGACTAAGCAGATTTGTTATGCTCTCCTTCTCTGTTGTTTCTGCCTTAGAGCCTGTAGACCATGGACCAGATTCTCTGAAACCATGAGCCAAATAAATCTCTCCTTCTTTAAATTATGGATTTTTCCCAGCAATGAGATAGTTGAATAACACAGGGGTTAAGTCCTTCTATGATTCTTCTTGTGTATATCCACATAGATCACTTTTCAAAAACAAAAGCACAATCATACTAAAAATATTATTTTGTGAAATGTCTTTTCACTCAAAAAACTCAAACATCTCAGTATATCAATAAATACACTTTTGTTCTTGCATTGCTATTAAAATTCATTGTTCCATAGCATTCTATTGTTTAGATTCTTCATAACTGTTTAGAATTTTATATTATAAGTAGCATTATGGTTAACAACTTTGTTGATAAACCTTGGTGCCCATTTAGGATACGGTAGACATTAGCCCTGTGTGCCAGCTTGCCTCTAAAAGCACTTGTTATGCATGATCACTGGTCCTTCTAACAAACTGACACAATGTATTGTCCTAGCAGCATTATCTGAGAGTGCTTATTTTTCCCATAGCTTCATAATATTTCTTTCTTATTTAAAATAATTTTAAATGCAGAAATTAATTCCAAGACAGGATAATCGATAATATTCCGGTTAATGTTTCTGATAACCGGGGGAACTAAATAAAGTGACTTATACTAAAATCTGGGTAAGTAAACTGTCTTCTTTATGTTGACTTGGTATCAATCTCTCATTGACGAAGTTGTGAATTGAGAGATTTCCCCTAGCCCTAGTCAATGAAAATAAACAGGAAAATAAGGGAAAACCTCTGAACAACTGACTGAATAATTCCCTCCTGAAGTCCTGCTATGAGGGAGCAAAAAGGGAGAAAGTATACTTGTAACATTTTGGTGACCAGATTCAGCACTTTAAGCTGCCAGTGACAATAACAATAATAATGGTTTTAGGTGTAATATTTTGCTTTTCTTTAAGCAGAGTGCTAATGAGTCACTTCCACTTCTTATCATGTGCTTGTTATGAGTCAGGACTGGAGAATTCACTTAATCTTACAGCAGGGTAAACATTATTCCCTGTTCTACTGAAGAAACTGTGGCCCAGAGAGCTTGAGTAATTTGTCCAAGGCCTCACAGCTAATTATTGAGCAGAAGTAAGATCAGAGCCCAGATTCACTTGTCCTGAAAGCCCCTGCTATGTCCCCTGTCACCTGGCTTGTCTTGATGAAGAGAGGGACTCCGCAGCCCAGAACCCTCAGACTTGGTCAGACATAGCTCTGAGTAGGATGTTGAAAATCCCCCCAAAGCTCGTGTGTTAAAGGGTTGGGCCACCGAGTGGTACTGTTGGTGGAGGCTTTAGGAAACAGGGCCTTGTGGATGGATGATCTTCAGGCCCCTGAAGGTGTGCCTCATGGAGGATTGTGGAGCCTTATCTGTTTCTCTTTCTCTCTTTTGCTTTCTGGCCATGAGGTGAGCAGTTTTGCTCCCACCATGATCTGCTACCTCAGCTATTGGTCCAAAGCAATGGAATTAACCAATTATGCATTAGATTCTCTAAAACTATGAGCCAAAATAAACCTTGTCTCTGTATAAGTTGATGGTCTCAGGAATTTGTCACATTAATGGAAAGCCACTAACAGAGACATCACAGATGAATATATCAGGCTCTGTTGCTGGATTCTGTTTGGAACAACAGCATTAATATTTCTTTTTCTCTCACTTTTTCTCTTCCCATCAGGCCTCAGACCAACCATTGAAGAGCATCAGATATATGGACAAGGAAATAATTAACCTCAAAAAAGACCTTATACGAAGCCGGTAGGTAAGCCCCACAAGGAATGACTTAGGGACCACCTGACGGGGATGAGCAGGCTGTGGAAGGTGTCTCCAAGTCCTTGCCTAGTTCTGATGCTCCCTCACCCTAAATAGTCACCAGAAGACTTACAAGAGAGTAGCCTTGTAAGGAGCAGAGGGAAATGTCTCTTTCTTGGTTGTATGAGATTTGATCAAAACATACAGTGACTGTTTAAAAAACTTACTGTAGTAAAAGGCACATTGCCCCCTGGAAATACCCGCCCTTCCTCCAAACATATTTATCCTATCATTTTTTCCACTTTCTGAATAAGCTCTGGATATTCCCTAGTATGAGTGTCTTTACAAGTTTTGATTAAAAAATACATTGAAAGCCGCTGCCTGGTGCTATCCGATAAAAGGTAGGCTCATGAAAATATTACAGTGTGTGCTCATTCATACTTAATCAACAAACCTGGTACTGTGGGACTTCTGACTCCTCCCCAAAGTCAAGATGACCAGGAAAGCTAACCATTTTTAATTGATTCAAGACAGTGAGGTAGCTAAAGACTAAGACATTCATTAAAAAGACTTCTAGAACTGCTTCACAAATTAAGAATGAAAGGATAGGTGAATTCAAAGATAGGGGAGAGTATTCTGAGGGAGATGAATTCCAATGTGTCTTTTAATATTATATATATATATTATATATATATATATATGTTATATATATATATAATATATATATAATATATATATATATATATTGTACCAGAAATTGAACTCAGGACCTCATGCTTACCAGGCAGGCCCTGGGCCACTGAGTTACATCCCTGGCCCCAGTTTTCTTATAAAAATATAAACATTCACCATGTTTTGCAATGACATCACATACTTTTCAGAGAGAAACTACCAGACCTATCACCAGTGTCTGGCCTAGAACTCCTCTGCTTTCCCTTCTGGTCCTGAATCTAACTCAACAGGACTCCTACATGCTCCAGAAAGTTTCCCTTTTATACTTCAGGCCCACAGGATGATAGCAGAGTCAGTTAGACTAGGTATCAAATACTGACCCTTCCATCTACCACCTGATGACACAGGAGGAGTCACTGCACCACCCTGGTCTCCCTGTGCCTATCTGTAAAATCAGAATGAAATGAGGTTGTTAGAAGAAGAGAGTGAAATGACGACCATACGGATCAATTCCTGTGACCTGGAATATCCTTCCCCATCTCACTCCTCCTACCTTCTTTCCTTCCCTTATGGTGTGAGCAAATTGAGGTCCAGAAACAGGTTTTGTTCACCTCTGCATGGTGAGATGAGATTTTGTGTTTCTCCCCATCCTTCAACTCTTTCCTGGAAGTTGGAACGTCCAAAGGTGGAATCATAAGGTAGGGCTTCAGAAGATGCTACTGGGGGCAGAGTAAGGACTGCAGATGTTTTTTTCTTTTTAGCACAAACACACAAAGGTGTTTAGGGAGCCATGGTGCAGGCAAAGGGAAGGATCAGTATGTCTTTGATATCACCCATTCTGAGCCAGTCCACAGTGAGGGACACACTGGGACATTTCCTGTCTCCGCCTCCATCATCCAAACCCCACCCTGCCCTGTCCTGTCCAACGGAACAGCAACTAACTGATGACTGACCCCAGGAGAATGAAAGCAATTTTAATAACATTTTATTTAACCCAATATATCCAAAATACTGTTTTTCACCATGTAATCAATATAAAAATATTTAATAAGATGCTTTTTACCTGTTATTTGGCACCTGGCTGTAATCCCAACACTCTGGGAACCAAAGGCAGAACAATCACAAATTCAAGCCCAGCCTGGGCACCTGAGCAATTTAGCAAAGTGCTTTCTCAAAGTTTAAAAAGTTTTTGCAAGGGCTGTGGATATAGTTCCAGGTGAAGACCCTGTTTTCAGTCTCCAGTGCTGGAGGGAAGAGTGATGCAGACAGTGGCTTTTCTGCCACCCTGCAGGTGGCCAGTGCAGTCTGTCACTCCTGCCAGTGACATTTACCACAGCTCCAGAACAAGTCAGAATTTAACATCTTCATCAGACAGGACCAGTCTGTCCCACTGCTGGACGTGAAGGAGAAATGTGGAAAAGGACATCCAGAAAAGTCACAAGCGAGAACCCACAAAAGTATGGACAGAATACTCCACCTGACCGCGTTCTTGGATCCTACCGATGTCTAAAGAATCAGCAATTCCCCATCAGAAAGAAAAGTCTTGTTTACCAAGGAAAAATCACCTCTCAGGAGTGCAAACTGCCCCACCCATGGGCCCATCTTCCAGTATTAAATGAGGCGAGTTATTAGCAAAGAAGTTGTTGTCTTTTCCACTTATTGTTTTGTGAGTCCATTTCACCTCCTATTAGAATCTAGCCCACCTTGAACCACACACCCTGACTGTCTCCTGGTTTTTATTTAATACTTCAGCCCTCTTATAATTCAATTGCACCATCTCTGGTTTCATGGCCAATTTAACATGATGCTAAAAAGAATAAAACTCTAACTGCTTTCTTCCTCGCCTGTTCTGCCAGATGTTCAGTGGCACTAAGCATCACACTGTGCACTAAGTTGCTGAATTTCTGCTAGCAGAAGTTGATCATCGGGGCCTTTGCATGGGCCCTGTACTTGGCCCACTCTTGAAGTGGATGACATAGTTTCCTCTGAGGTCACCAGTGCTTGATACTGCACATGTCTTTAGAAAAACAACTATTTCAGCAACAGAGAAAAGAAAAATGTTGAACCGGAAGCCATGATTTACCCATGGCAAAGTTAAATTAGGTATAGGCATTGGCAAATAAACAGTGAGGAATTACCCGCCAAATCCCCTCCACAGCAAACTGTGTCAGGATCCAGTTTTGCAAGTATTTAGAGATGTGAGACTTTGCTTCCCAGCGGGACTTGATAGACAGCTGAAGCAAGGCCATTAGAAATAAGGAAAGTGGGATTTTTGGCAAAGGAAGCAACTACTTCTGGAATGTTGAGTTACACACTCCTCTCTGCTGTGGTTCATATGAGTATCCTCCAAAGCTTGCTGTGAGAGATACTTAAGATACCAGGATGTGCATCCTCCAAGGCACTTGGGTTTCTTCTTTTTCCTGGATCTTTTGCTTTCTTGGTCAGGAGACGAGGGGTTCTGATTTACCACACCTACCAGTCACGTTTTGCTGCCCCATCAAATGCCCAAAGAATGGAGCCTCAGAGTTGTGGCCTCCGAAACCATCGGCCAAAATAAACCTTTACTCTTTATAAGTCAATGCCTCGGATATTTCTCTATAGTGCCAGAAAGGTGATGGATACATTCTTGGTAACTTCTTATCCCTCGTGCTCATTCATTTTCTTCAACAAACATTTATTGACTATGAAGTCTTACCAGCTATATACCAGACATAGTTGCATGTAACAGAGACTTAGAAATGAACAAACCAGACAAAATTCCTGTCCTCAGGGAGTAAGTGGTATGTTGTGTGTGATGAATCAACTGTAGTGATGGGGGTTTATCAGAGGGACCGTGGGCTCACTGCCTGAATGGAGGGGAAAACGTTAGTGCACAGATACAGAGAAAGAGAGAGGCAGTATTTCAGAGAATAAATAGGGAATGGTGCCAAAGTTGGGACAAGCTGCAAATGCTGGAGGAACAGAAGCCAGGCAGAGGAGGCTGGATCAGAATGAGACAGGATTAGAAAATCAAGAGATAAGGTTGGAGCACTGGCAAAGTGCTGGTCCGTCCACGGCCTTGCAGGCTGGAGTAAAACATTGTGGTCTTAGTCTAAGTGCAGTCAGAACCCACTGGGAAAGGAGAACCGAGAGCAAGAGAAAGATGTGATCTAGTCTTTAAAAGAACATCCCCTTCACTGCATGGAGATCAGCTGGAGGCCACAGTGAGAAATGACGCTGTCTTGAATCGGAACTAGCAGGGAATAAGGAGAGGAAGGTGAAGTTGAGAGTTTTTTGGAAGTAGATCCCCTGGACTGGCACTAAATTGAATGCAGGAGCTGAGGGAAAAGTCAGCACCCATGTGCTACTATTGCCTGTTTCCATCTCTCCCTCCCTTGCTAAGATATAAGAGCTGTCACTGTGCAATATGAAGTGTGTCGTGGCCACTTTTATGGTCCTGGACAAGCGTGTACTGACAAGACAAAGTAATACTCTTATCCATCCTGAGAACTCAGTGTTTAAAGGAAGGAAGAAATTTTGTTTATTAACTTGAGTTTATGAGTCAGGAAGATAAGATGAATCAGAAGATGGTCCATCACTTGCAGCCTTTCAGGTCAACCTGCCAGCCTCTCCCTTTTCCACTACAATTAAAGTAGGATTATCCACTCCAAGTTACTGGTATCTTGCCTGTGGCTAGAAAGGGGAGCCATTAATGTGGAGCAAAAGCAAAGTCAACCTGTCCTGTGAGTCCCCAGGGTCTGGCTCAATGGTTGGCATAGAATAGGCACTTGAAATGCATTTGCTGAAATTCAAGTGTATATAACACCTTAAAATCTTCCCCAAGGCAGAAAAATGTCTTGTTACTGAATTTCTCCCGTGAGAAACTGAGACTGAGAAAACATCAGAGGTTTACTCAAAGTTGCCATGTCTATTAGCTACTGCTGCGTAACAAATAATCCCAGAAATATGGTGTTTTAAAAGAGTTAAGTATCTATTAGTGATTATGAGTCTGCAGTTGAGCTGAGGGTTTCTCTCATCTCTACTGGGCTCCTTTGTGCATCTGTAATTGGCTGAGGCAGGTGGGTGTCTCTGCTGATTTTGGCAGGCTCTCTTATATTTGAAGGTCAGGGGCTATATGGATGATCTTGACCAGAACAACACAGTTTCTCATTCTCAAAGAAGTGAGCTTAGTTTTGTTCTCACAGTGGCAGAGTCTTGAGAAAAAATGGAAGTTCATGGTACCTACTGAACTTTAGGTTAGGGACTGGCAAACATCACTTCTGCCATACTATTGTGAACAAAAGCAAGTCATAAATCCTGCCCAGATTATAGGCAAAAGAAGAGATTCTACTTTA